ACTTCTTCCATCAGGCATATAACCTTCATTCTCATAAATATCAATTAGTGATCTGGTGATATCTACAGCACGTTTCGATTGAAAAAGAGTAAATAGCGGGTTTGTCGTTCTAAATATTAATACATTTAAACATTAAATTTGTGCATTTATCATTAATTTTATGCTTATAGGTAAGAAACCGTTTTTTTTTTTTTTGTTTAAATATATTATAATAATTTAAAATCACCTGAATGTATCCCACTGTTAGCCATATTAAAAAAATCAGTATCATTAAAATTTTTAGAGTGGACAAAGAAATAAAGCATACCAAAGTATAAAAATCTTCATAATATGGTACAGGTTTTCCATTTTTATCAACTGTCTTCCATTTTGGATTTTCACCGGTTCTACGTACATAATAAATTACACGGTACTGTATATAAATTATTATTTAACAAAATTCATGTTAATGACTAACAAACCTGTCGCTTGGAATTATCATAGTCCGATATAAACCACTATAAAAAATCGTTTTAAGATATTCATCATCACTTTCAACCTTAATCTTTCCCAATTCATTATTCCAGGCATCAACATTCTTCTGCCTTACAATATCAAAATCCCAATCAGGTATCTCGCTTTCAGCGTTATCACAAGCCTGGTCAGATGAAATGAATGAAATCCCAACCCTCGAAATAATTATGGGGTTTTTGATAGTATCAAAAGTTAGAATTGCACCAATTTTATTACCGGTAGTTCCAACATAAGATGTCATGTTTTCATTTATTCTGTTATTCCACCAAGGTGCTTGATCAGTAGCATTAACATTAAATTGGGAACAAAAGTAAACTTTATATAGGCCATCACTATTCCAACCACCTTTATATTGACCTACTCCCTTTATCTGATTATTAGAGAGAGAGATTATCGCCCCGCTATCGAAACTGGCACTATGTCATCACAAGGTTAATGCATATAATAAGATTAAACATATTAAATCGAAGAAATCAATTAAATCGATATGTACCCCCAACCAAAAGAAAGAATATGAGATAAATTAAGGATAACTTTTGCATTATCTTTAGCTATAGGGAAAGTATATCGATGAAGACCAACTCTATGACTTGCGGTTAATTCAACCGTGATATTGTAACGTTTCAATCCAAATATCGAGTAACCAACTTCGAAATGTTCGAACGATCTTGCGGAGGAGTAGTTTTCTAAAATGGTTTCGTTACTCGACGAGACCATTACCGGAAATTGACTTATCACACCATATTTTGGCTCTCCTGATCATTTTGATTGTGGTCAATAG